CACCCCACCCCATAGTTTCCTATGGACATCAAGAAACTGAAAACCAACAACAACAACAACAACAATCTTTGAGACAAGGTTTGCCATTTAACAAGGCTAAAAATCAAAGCTTGACATTTAGTGATGATGATGATAACAACAGTGTTGAAGATGGGAAGAAGAGTAAAACTTGTCCTTGGCAAAGAATGAAGTGGACTGATAATATGGTAAGGTTATTAATTATGGTTGTTTATTATATTGGTGATGAAGTTGGTTCTGAAGTAAATAATAATAATAATAATGATACTAATAATAGTAAGAAAAAAGGTGGTGGTAGTGTAGGGGTTTTGCAAAAAAAAGGAAAGTGGAAATCAGTTTCAAGAGCAATGATGGAGAGGGGATTTTATGTATCACCACAACAATGTGAAGATAAATTCAATGATTTGAATAAGAGGTATAAAAGGGTTAATGATATTCTTGGAAAAGGGACAGCTTGTAGAGTTGTGGAGAACCAAAATTTGCTTGAAACAATGGATCATTTAACACAAAAAATGAAAGAAGAAGTTAAGAAATTGTTGAATTCTAAGCACTTGTTTTTTAGGGAAATGTGTGCTTATCATAATAGTTGTGGTCATAATAACACTAGTACTGGCGGTGGTAGTGATATTGGAAATGTTCAACTTTCGACGGAAATGGCTGTTGAGGCTAATTCTCAAGCTCAGAAGAGGTGCTTACATTCGTCAGAAAATGCAAGAATTGAGGTTCATTTAGAAGAAGGGACTAAAATGGCTAAAGGGAAAAGTGTAGACGATGATCAAGAAGACGATGATGAGGACGAGGATGAAGATGAGGAGGACAACGAAGATGAGTTGAGTGGTGCAAGAGGACATGACAATCACCATAGCCACGAATACGACGATGACATGGATGAAAGATCAAGAAAGAGGCAACGAAAGTCGGGTTCCTTGTCACCAATGGTACAACAATTGAGTTCAGAATTAGCTAATGTAATTCAAGATGGAGGGAGGAGTTCAATTGAGAAGAGACAATGGTTGAAAACTAGAATGGTACAATTGGAGGAACAACATGTTGGCTATTTATGTCAAGCATTTGAGCTACAAAAGCAAAGATTGAAATGGGAGAAATTTACAAGCAAGAAGGAAAGGGAAATGGAGAAAGAGAAGCTTATAAATGAGAGGAAAAAATTGGAGAATGAAAGAATGGTGCTTTTACTTAGGCAAAAAGAGCTTGAACTACTTGATTTTCATCAGCATCAGAATCATAATAGAAATAGTGATCCTTCTTCTGTAACAGGATGAAAAATTGAAACAATATTAGCAGCACCAGAGTAGTTAACAATGTGTAGATAATCATATGCTTTTACCTTGTATTTTAGTCTTCAATCAAGTTTTTGATGTAAAATCTAAGTTTGAAGAAAACTTGCATCTAGCTTCTATATAGTCTTAAATTATCAAGTTCCTAGTACTCTTTAATTTGTCTGTTCTGTTTTTTACTTTAATTTATGTGAATCGAATTTTTTGTTTTCTTGGATTTATCTTCATTTTGTTGCTTCATTTGTTGTCTTGTTTTGTTTTCTTCTCCTTCTTGTACTGTACAACTACTACTCCAGTGTGTAGAACTACCGCAGTGTGTGGGGCCCGAAAAAGGATCGGAGAAGAATTGCAATATATAGCAATATGAACTCATAACTTTAAAAATACAATAGGTTTAACGCTAAAATTTTTAAAAATTGAACTCATAAAACTTTTGTCTCTGGTAATACTCATTGAATTTTGAATGCTACGACGGTTTCTGTATAATGTTAATAGGCTTATTTTGAGTATTTTACAAAGTGGACTGACATAAATTTTTGTTAATAGAGAAAAATTAAAAAGAACTCATAAAGGATCGGAGAAGAATTGCAATATATAGCAATATGAACTCATAACTTTAAAAATACAATAGGTTTAACGCTAAAATTTTTAAAAATTGAACTCATAAAACTTTTGTCTCTGGTAATACTCATTGAATTTTGAATGCTACGACGGTTTCTGTATAATGTTAATAGGCTTATTTTGAGTATTTTACAAAGTGGACTGACATAAATTTTTGTTAATAGAGAAAAATTAAAAAGAACTCATAAAGGATCGGAGAAGAATTGCAATATATAGCAATATGAACTCATAACTTTAAAAATACAATAGGTTTAACGCTAAAATTTTTAAAAATTGAACTCATAAAACTTTTGTCTCTGGTAATACTCATTGAATTTTGAATGCTACGACGGTTTCTGTATAATGTTAATAGGCTTATTTTGAGTATTTTACAAAGTGGACTGACATAAATTTTTGTTAATAGAGAAAAATTAAAAAGAACTAAGTCACGCCCAGTGGGACTCGAACCCACAATCGCTTGATTAGAAGTCAAGCGCCTTATCCATTAGGCCATGGGCGCTTCTTGTGATATTCTCGTCGTTGTATATATATATATACTAGTTGAGCAAGCTGACATCTACAGTATAAATTATCATTGTCCATGTTTCATTTATGTTCTCTCACTCAAATATTTTTAAATTTTAGTTTCTCTAAATTAGAAATTCTCTATATTTTATATTGCATATAAGTCTGACGAAATTAAAAACAAAATATCCTAATGTATATAATAGATTTAAGCTAAACGTCTACCTCACGCAAGGTAGGAGTAAGGTATGCGTACACTCTATCCTCCCCAAACTCGACTTGTGGAATTACACTCCGTTTATTCTTGTTATTGTTGAAGCTAAATGTACTAACATGAAGACATAGTAGAGTCATATTTAGACAATATCGACCACAGTATTGTTAGTAGGTAGTCAAGTATATTTCTGTTCGATTCCTCTAGTGTTACTATTATCCTAGTATTTTCTTATACCTAGAAATTTAGTATTATTGTTTCTTTTGCTTCGGTTCCTTATCATCTGATCTTGTTATTATCATCGCTTATTGTTAATGCTTACTTTTTCATCTTACCTTGAGCTGAGGGTCCGGCGGAAATAATCTCTCCACCTTTACAAGATAAGAGTAAGCTTTGCGTACACACTACCCTCTCCAAACCCTACTTGTGAGATTATAATGGGTTTGTTTTCGTTGTCAAAGTGACGTGAATGAAAACATAATTGCAAAAGATTTATTACTAATATCTCAACATTAATCAAGTTTCTGCAGGAGAATAAGCTCCAAATAGAACAAGAACACCTCCATAACACACGGGAGGACAAATGAACATGACTCCTATACCTGATATTAGGAAAGAACCACCAAAATAAATTTGATGTTTTCAACTACTGCAATTTCTTTCAACAAGAATTGCCCAACATACAACTATAAGATATCACATCCAAAAAAAAGGAGGATAACTAAATGCATAAGACAGCTGCTGTCTAACACTTTAATCTTCAAGCTCAATAATCTTAACCACTGATGCATCTCCAACTTTCTGGCAAATGACAACTCGATCGTGGGACTTTACAACGCCTGAGGCCTTCCCATGATCAAGAGCAACTTTCAGAACTGACTCATTTGATGCGTTTGTAGACTCAGCCTATGGGAAGAATAAGTAGCTCGGTTAGGCCCAGCAGAAACAAGAAGATTTAATCGAGATTTGACATGATGGAAATAAAAGGAGCAGATTCAGTTGTTCAATGACAGAAGCATGTTTAATGTTCATAATAAACAAATAAAAAGGGCAGCCTGGTACACATAACATCCCGTGTTCACGTAGGATCCGGGGAAGGGCCGCACCTCAAGGGGGGTCTGATGTAGGCAGCCTACCATGACGCAAGCATCGGTGGCTGATTCCACGGCTCGAACCCGTGACCTATAGGTCACACGGAGACAACTTGACCGTTGCTCCAAGGCTCCCCTTCTTTCATGTTCATAATACTCGAAGGAAAACATGGGATGCAATAACTGGAGTGTTTTTCAGTTCTAAATATTAGGCAGAGAGATTAATCAGTCTGGAATTTGGATGAAACAAATATAAGGAAATATTTCCATCTGTCTTAGTTATTCCAACTAAGAAGACCAAAATATAAGCAAATATTACCACGCTGAGGTCATCTCTAAACAAAATAAGCGCAAAGGCAATGCAAACCTATGTTGCTCGTACTCTTAAAAAAATACCGCTGGGGTCATGTCAGATCCTCCAAAAATAATGCATTTTTTGAGAATTCGACATGGTTGCGACAACATTTTTGGAGAGTCCAAGCAACGTAGATGCAAACAGAAAATATGGAACACCAAGATGATGAGACTTACAGGATGTCGTGGATCAGCAAGCATTGGGAAAAGACCTCTAACAATAAGAGATTGCCTTGCCTGGGTATGGAGGAGTTGAAAAATACAGAACCCGTCAGCTTCAATGTCATAAAAACAATATGGAAATTGTATATACTTATTTGGCCAATGAGTATTTGCAAATAGCAAAATTAAGTATTTGAACTTCAAATGAAATACTGAAACACTAGTGAAGCATTGAAATACTATTTTGAAAGTTTATTTGTTAGTCTAACCAAAAACCACACATTCAAAAACTATAGATCAATATAACTAAGCAAACACGTCCACCAGCAAGAACCAATAGCATGCATATGAAAGAAAGAGAGAGAAAAGTCACAGTAACATCAGCAAAATTAAGAATAAATACAAACAGTTCTCACACATTATCATGTCTTTAGTCATTACTCGAGATAAAAACTGATAGGAGTACCTTCTCTATTGTTATCTAAAAGGATTTTATGCTATCCAATTATAAAAGTTTGACATATATCAATTAAACAATGTTCTGTGAGGAAAATAATAGTCATTTATCAATCAAATGCATTGAAGATGTCTGAACATCATGAGCTAGATTTGATTCTTGAACAGACTTGATGTCAAGGGGATACCTCAAATGCACCGGTGAAACTCCACTTCAATTGATTTGTCTTGAGTCGAGGAATTACAACAGACAATACTGGCATTGTTGGCCTATATTTGGCTATCAATCTGGGCACATGAACATGACAATTTACAGCTCTCATAAAAAAAGTAGAGAGTAGAAATTCTAAGAAATCTAGAAAGAACAGAGAAACTACCGTGCTGCCCTTCCAGATGAAGTGAAACAAATAATTACTGATGCTTTCACCTTAATCGCTGCCCGCACCTAAAAAGAGGAGAGTGATTAAAATTCCAGAAGTCTCTCCTCATTCCAAGAAAGGGAGTCGTGTTCAAAAGAATACCGCAGAGGAAGCAATTGATTCCAGGTGTGTCATGGGCTCCCCAACAAATTTGACTGTCTTCTTGAAATATAGATCCTGGTTAAAAACCTTCTCGGCCTGCACGGAATTTGATTGTTAATTAGGGCGACTGATATTACTCTCCGAAACAGAAAACCAGAAGGTGGTAAATGCCACACTATGAGGGGGTGGGACTAAGTGTGTCCCTCATCCCGAAAGGTGATGCTGAAGATACACTAATTACTAATATGCCATAAATTTTGACGAGTCAGGACCATACTGAGAAATGTCTCTTGATACATCAAAGCGTCAAAGAACCAATTATTGATCTCTTGACAGGAAAAAGGTGTTCAAATGGAAACAGTGTCAAATGTTCTTAATGCAAAAAATATTGCTAAAGATTAAACTATGAGATCAGTCTACTCTGTAATAGAAACAGACATGTTGCCTTAGATACAGCAAATGTTTCTTCACTATGTAAAGGCAACGCATATCTGATACAAGATATTTAAGAAGAGAAAAGAAAAGGCTTGCATGGGGAGAAAAGAATTAAAGTAGCTCATTCAACTGAGCAGATTCTTAATCCCACACACAATTATAGATTTAGGATATGCAACTGACTTTTGGAAAGGCCAAGCTAAACAAGTCAAAATAAGGATGACCGTAAATATCCTGCTGAAAATAACCTCACAAAATTGAATGCAAGAAATCCATGACCAAAAAAGATAAGCATGTGATGAGTCTGGTCTTCTAAACATAATTCTTTAAAAGGTGATGTTTGAAAACCAGATATACACAGGTTTTCTTAATTCACATAAAGGATACAGATAAAATGAAAATCACCTCGGCACAAATTCTTCCAACAGTAGAAATAGTCTCAATTGGGTATAATCCACGTAGAGTCTCAGCACCAAGAAGAATTGCATCAGTTCCTGCACAAATGATAAATGTGAAAAACTCTACCATAAACAAACTAACAAGATGTCGCATGAAGGATGACAAAAGGACCCCAAATCTCCGGACGTAATAAAGGACAGTAGAACCACTTAGATGGGCAGCAAGATTACCATCCAAGACAGCATTAGCGACATCTGTTGCTTCAGCACGAGTTGGCCTAAGATTGTCAGTCATGCTATCAACAACACGTGTTACAACAGCAGGCTTGCCAGCCATGTTACACTTGTGAACAGCAGCCTTCTGGAACAAGAACACCTGTATAACACTCAAAAATTAGCCAAA